GGGGCGGCGGAACCCGAAAGAAAGAAAAGCAGTGGTCTTGCCCTAGATCACGCCTGCAAGATCCATGGTGGCGATCCTCAGTAACCTTAATAATAGTTGCCTTAACCTTTCCAAGCCTCAGTTTCCTTATCTATTAAGTGGGGATAACCATAATAAGTGTTCATTCTATATCGTTGTTGGGATGAGTCCATGAATGTATCAGTGGGATGTCACCCGAAAGAAAGAAAAGCAGTGGTCTTGCCCTAGATCACGCCTGCAAGATCCATGGTGGCGATCCTCAGTAACCTTAATAATAGTTGCCTTAACCTTTCCAAGCCTCAGTTTCCTTATCTATTAAGTGGGGATAACCATAATAAGTGTTCATTCTATATCGTTGTTGGGATGAGTCCATGAATGTATCAGTGGGATGTCACAGCCCGGTACTTGCTTACTCCTGATGTTCCAGTGCAATTATTAATAACATTCTGTTCTATTCTGAAAAGTGTCTTAGTAGGACAATTAAATTAGATGGTAACTGTGCACCAGGGTCCCCTGGCCTGGCTATGGTCTCAGTCTGTCATTAACACGCTGATGACCCTTAGCAGATCACCGTTTGGGGGATGAGGCTCTTTGGAGTACCTCTGAGGTGCCCTAACGGTCAGCCCTGGATTGGTAATGCCAGCTCTCTGGCCGGGGTAGGGTACAGGTCACGGGGTAGCAACTGACCTCTCACTGTGTGGCGAGTCGCGCAGGGAGTCTACGGAGTCATGGTAAGGTGGCACGGTGGCTTTGCGTTGCTCCTCCAGGCCGTAGGCTGCTGCCCGCCGTGCCCGGGCCTCCACACACGCCGGGCTGTTGCACTTGCTGGTGCCCACCGATGACAGCATGATTCCCGACTGGGAGTCAGAGGTCAGGCTCTCAGAACGTTCCAGGCTCCATGTGTGGCTCTCATGTCTGGAGAAGCCAGAGTGGGGTGAGGTGGGGGGTCCAGTAGGTGTGGTCTCAGGCTCACCCCCTCTCTGCTTCATTCCATCTCAGGCTCCCTCAGCTCACTACCCTCCCCCACTCTGTGCTGATGTGTAGTATCACAAATGCCCAACCATGATATAGGGAGAAGGAGGGCTGGAGTCCTGTGGATGAGTGAGCTGCAACGTGCACAGGCCTCTTCCTTTCCTCCCTGAAACCAACCTCCTCCTAGCCTAGTCCCAGGGACCCCTGTCTGGGGCCCTTCCATTCCCATGGTCTTTGGCCACTTAAGAGCCCAGCTCCAGTGGCCAGTACAAGGGAGCCTGCCTGTGCCATGCTTGTCTCTAGAAGAGAAAGGGGCCAACCATACTATTCCTGAGCTGTGTGAGCCTTCGTGCCTATGTGGACAGGCCTCCCTAACTCAAGAGAAGGAGGCCAAGGTGGACTAGGTTCCTGTGGGCCAACCTAGGAGAGGGTATCAAATAGCTCTGGGCGTTCGAGTGAGTAGGCACTTTATGCCAGAGAAAGTGGAGCTGGTGAGGTCCAACAAAACTGAATGGTAGGTGAGAGCACAGTGATGCTGTTGCTCCCCTGGGGCTGGTTTAGAATGGAAAAGGGGATCCAGCGTCCTGAGCATCTGAAAGAATGTCTGGCAGTGGGTTCTGGTTTGGAGCCCCCCACCTCCATCCTCCTGCTCAGAGCCTGGCTAGGGATTCGTATGTGTGTCCCCAGGCAGGTATGTGATGCATGTGTCCTTGCTTTCTGTGGGTGTAGGTACAAGAGTCTGCACATCTGTGTGGGGGTCTGGGTGGTACCCACCTACGGCTAGAGGTGGGCGTGGCTGTGGAGCAGTGGTGAGATGGAGAACAAGAGTGGCTCCCAGAGAAGGTGGTCTCGGTCTCTCTCTGGATGACATGGTCTGTGGCTGCCACGTTCTTGGAGATATACTAGAACAGAGAGAGAGTTGGGTGGGAGTTAGTGATAGGTGACTGAGTAGGCCCTTCTTCCTGATGGAGTCAGGGAAGTTCCAGGTTGGGAAGGGGTCCAATGGATAAGTGACTTGGTGTTGGGGCAGCGATGGCCCCAGCAAATTAACCCTCCTGCATTTCCTTAAAGAAATGGGCAAAGTGAGGCCAGTCATCTTGGTAAGGCAAGGCGAGGCTAGCAGGCAAGGCTGAGCATGGGAGGGGCTGGCTGCTGCCCTGGCCCATCTTCAGAGGAACCAGAAGCCTGGCTGTATAGCGAGGGCTCAGAGGGGGACCTGGGAATACCACTCACGTCTGCCATCTGGATCTCTTCAGGGTCCAGCCGGGGGTGGCTGGGTCCGTTGGCCAGGCTCCGGTTCTGGTGGGCTGGGCACAAGTTCTGCCGCAGGTGGTTGTGCATCTTCTTCCGTTGTTTTCTGCACAGGGGAAGGGTGCGTTAACCTGGCACACCCCACTAACACATTAACTACCCTAGCTGCCCCTCTCAGGGAGCTAGTCTCTCCTCTGCCTGGACTGCTGCGGCAGTCTCCTGCACTTCTGGTGCTCAGGCTGCCCTGAGCAAGGACCCCTCCAATCTGTCCCTGCACCATCACCACTGGCCTAAATTCAGCAAGACCTGAGCATAGTGGTCCTGAACTTTGGCTCTGCTGAGAGAGTAGAACACTTTCTAGCTGTGTAACCCTGGACAAGTTATTTAACCTCTCCAGGATTCACTTTCCTCATCTGTAAAATGGAGTGATCATTTACCTGTCCCAAAGACCACTGAGGACTAAGAGTAGATAAAGTACTGAAGCATAGCGCTGGCCCACTCATTTATTCAGTTGGTATTTAATTGACTTTTTGCTGTGGTCAGGGAGTTGAGGCCTGTGGGGCTACCTTACTTTGGCACATATTAAGTGCTCATTACATTTGTTTTGTAATCAACATGTCTGATCATGTCACACTCCTGTTTAAAACCTTTCCTTAGCCCTCAGTTCCCATTTCTTTCCCCAGCCCTGTCTCTCACTGGCCTCTCCCCACCCCAGCTTGTTGCACTGGGGGGTTTATTTCTGATCCTCCACTTTGCCCATCCTTTCTGGCCTCTAGGCCTTTGCACATACTGTAACATCCAGCTGGAACATTCTCTGCCTCTTCACCTGCTAACTCCTCATCTCTCAGGCCCAACCTAATGGGTCCTCCTCAGGGAAATCCTTCTTGCCTTTCAGCCAAGGTTAGGTACCCATGAAATATGTCCTGTGACCTTGTGCTTAGAGCACTGGCCATTGTGCCTGGGGCAGGGTCTGGTGTCCAGCAAGTAATTGAATAAAAGTTTCTTAAGAAAATGAGTGCAGTGGGGTTAGAACAGGGGGCTCGCTTTCACCTCAACTCTTGGTCTCAATTTTCCTACTTGGGCCTTCATCCCTCCCTCTGACTTTCTGGTCCTGGACTCACCCAGAACAAGGTTGGCAGGGCCTTAGATCCCATAGACAGGGGTAGCAAGAGTCAAGACCCAGGGACTCAGTCCCCCAAATGGTGGCTCTGCCCAGATTCTTGCTCTTTAGATCAGAGAGGATATGACAGACCTATCATTTTTCTGAATCGCATCACTCTACAAACTTCATTGGCTCCCCCTCATCCTGCAGGAGAAATCCAACCTCCCTAGCTTGGCATTTAAGACCCTATGATGTCATGATGTCATCTGGGTTCTAGCTTCCACTATTCCACTGGAACTGCCCAGACCCCTTTCTGCCCTGTTTTTCCCATTGCTCTGAGGTTCTGCCTCCACATTTCCTCTGCCCAGGTGAGACCAGGCAGTGCCTTAAGAGGTCTCTTTTTTCCTTGGGTATGTACCCTTCTTCTCTGAGCTTCCTTACCCCCAGCACTGCCCCAGTGTTTGCCTATTTGTCAGGGTAGGTGCTTCCTCACAATATCCTCTGAGGTCCATACTAGGATCATTCCCATTTTTCAGATGAGGACTCAGAGAGGTTCACCAGGTTGCTCCGGGACACACGGGAAATGGTAGAGCTGGATTTGAACCCAGATTTGTCTTCTCCCAATGCCTGTGCTCATGACCATTCCTGTTCAGTCCTCCAGGGCTGATCTCCCCCAACCTCAGCTCCTGCTTCTTGATCCAGCCCTTCGGCCTCACAATGGCTGCAGAAGGCAGTTGAGGCATAGGAGGGTGTGTGATGGTGGGGTGGGGGTTGGGGGTTAGGCAAGGCATGATGCTGGGGGGTGTGAAGGAGAGCCTGTTCTTACAAAAGCAGTCTTAGAGGCCTGCCCCTGGCCTGAGTGCCCGACACTCACTTGGTCTTGCAGTAGGCAACCACGCAGACGATGCCCACGACCAGCAGAGCCACACAGATGCCGGTGATAGTCAGGACTCTCTTCTGGTACAGCTCCTCAGCTTCTGCAGAGGCAGGGGATGTGAGGAGGCTAGGCAGGAGGTAGGTGGACTCTTGGGGACGGTGGTGCAGAGACACCTCCCCCAGCCCCTCCAATGCCTTGGGCTCCCTCCAGCTCAGGTCCTGCCCAGCTCCTTTCCCTCCTTGCTTCCCCAGAAGTCTCCCTCCCACCCACTTCTGGATTGCCTTCTGCTCCCCAGAACTCCACCCACCTGTGAATCTGAGCACAATCGACTACCCCTGAGTTCACCTTCCCAAACCCCATGCCCTGTCTGGGGCACGTGAGTGGAAATGCAGGGGGATGGGGGGATGGAGGTGACATTTCCAAGGCCATAGAGGAGGGCAACCAGCTTGGCCAGCAACCCTGCCCTGCCCACTATGGCCTGGTGGTTGCAAAGGACCTTGGTGGGCTGTTCTTCATGGCGATGAATGTGGCAACCCTGGGCAGAGGCCTAGTTTGCTACTATAACTTCTAAGAAGGTGGAGAGTGGCTTGTTCTGGGCTGGTGACAGGATATCAGACTCAGAGGCTGGACTTAGGAGGGATGCCAGGGCCAGGAGCAGGGACAGAATAAACCAGGCCTATGGCCAGAGGCAAAGGGAGAAGGGCCTTCGTTTATCCCTGCAGCCCTGGCCCATGCCAGCCCTCCCCGTCTCTGCCTGCGAGAAGCCCATGCATGGTGCTATAGGCCCTTGGCACCTAGGAGAGTCCTTTTGCTCCAGGTACAGCCCCACCTTTTCTGAGGAGCTGACCCCTCTATCTCACACTTCTTGGTGGAGCATCCCCTACCCTTTTAAAACAGAGAAAGCCAGGAGGAAGAAAAGGAAAAGGTGACAGCACCAGCCATAGTCTAGGCATAGAGCCTAGACACCTGCACCTGTTGGCTGGCCCCTCTACACTGCTCCCCTCCCACCAGCGCAGCGATAAGTGGAGGTTGGACCCCATACCTTGGTGGAGCCCTGGAAAATGTCTTTAAGCTCTCAGGCTTGCTGCACCTCCTGTGGCAAAGGTATACCCACCAGCAAACACCGGGGGGAACAGACTCTCCAGACACACATACCTGTAGGACTACGCCTATCCAATACACAGACAGATCCTTTCACAAAGATGTACTCGCGCACACATCCAGAGAAGCACACATGCACACGTACACACATGTGCATGCGTGATCACACCCGCCGACACACTCGTGTGGAGTCTTAAACAAACAGCCCTCCACATCAGGCCCCCATTTTGGGGCTCTATGGCCCACGTCCTGACTCCAGTTCTCATCCCCGTCTGCCCCTAGGTCCCCTTCAGTCAGACATCTGTCTCCATCACTCCTCTGAGACCACTCTGGCCATGGTCATGGACAACCTCTCAGCTGACTCCCTCTGCTGGGCCCACTCCTGTTCTCTCCCAGGTTTCCTCCTCCTTCACTGATGTCTCTGCCTCCGTTGTGGCTTTTCCCCCTTCTCTGTGGGCTACAGGCAGAAGGGCCCAGAGCTCTTCCTTTCCCCCACCTGCCCTCTCTCCTTTAGTGATCCCACCCAGACTCCGACTTTAAATGCCATCGGTGTGCAGCAAACTCTCAAATTTCTATCTCCTGCCCTGGCTTCTCCCTGAGCTCCAGAGTCCCACATTCAAGGGCCATGGCCCGACACAAGCAGTGACCCCCACCCTCCTCCGAACCTGCTCCCTGCTCTCCCCATCTCTTGCGTAGCAGCACCACCTTTCTTGTTGCTCAGGCCCCGAACCTTGGAATCATTCCTGATTACTCCCTTTCTTCTCACCTTCCCTGGTACCTGGTCCATCAGCAAGTCCTCTCAGTTCTACCTCCCAAGCAGGTCCTGGATCTGACTACTTCTTAACCATTTCCCCTGCTTCCGGCTTAGTTCAAGATGATGCCCTCTCTCACCTGGATGGGCTGGTCACCTCTTAACTGGTTTCTCTGCTTCTACTCCTCCCCATCCTGTCCCCTGACCCAGTCTGTTCTCCATCTAAAAGCCACACTGATTTAAAAACATAAAGCAGATCTTTTACTTCCTGCTTAAAAACTCACAATGGCTTCCCACTGCAACTTGAATACAACCCAAAGCCTGACCATGGCCTACGAGGCCCCAGATCACCTGGTCCCAGCCTTCCTCTTAGATCTCATCTGCGGTCCTCCTCCCCACGTCCGCTCTGCACCAGAGTTGCTAGGAGTCTTTCCATCCATTGAACAAGGCAAGCCCACTCCAACCACACCACCCCTGACTTGCTGTGGCTCTGCCTCAAATACCCTCCCCAAGCTGTCTATAGGGCTGGCTACTTTTTCATCTCACTAAATGTCACCTCATGAGACAAGCCTTCCCTGACCGCTCAGCTAAAGTAGCTCCCACCCCAGCTAGGCGCTATCCCATTACCTTCTTTAATTTTCTGGATAGCACTTACCACCACCTGACAGCTTTCCTGTTTGTTTGTTGTCTGTCTCACTCTGTGAATCTGAGCTCCGGGAGGGCAGGGACTCTGTGTGCCAGATCGCCAGACTCTGGCAAATTCCGGGGTTCAACAGATGTTTGTTGAGTTGGTGAGTGAATTAATGTACAGACCACCATGACAGATACAGACACATTTACATAGGCTCACACTCACCACTGCACCCTCACAGTTCCAACTGCGCAACACTCAGCTCTTAACACAAAGGTATTGCACTGCACCCCTCCACGTACTTGCATCCCACACTTGTTATCCCTAACAAGGTATACACACATTCACACCCCCCTCAACACATACATCCTCAGATTCACCCCTGTGCACCCTGCCACCACCACATAGATACCACCCAGGCTCAGCCTCTCTCCTTCCCACCCTGTCACAGTCAACAGACATACTCTTACACACAGACTTTTAGCTCTAGCTTCTACTGAGAACAGCTGGTAGCATCTGGGAGGTGGGGACACTGTGGCCTTCCCAAACCTGCCATGAGAACAACCTTTGAATACTGTAGGCTCCACATCATGTCTGAGGTCTGACTCCACTGAAGCCTTGGCCCCTCTGAACCCCTTCATCTCCCCTGCTGTAATACGTCTGGACGCTTGAGGCAGGGTAGAGCCTCCCAGCACAAGTCAGAGAGCTGGATAGATTGACCCCTCAAAGTCCCTTCCTGTTGAAGGCGTTTTCCAGGGGCCAGAGGGCAGGAGTAGGAGGTAGGTAAGGTTCTCCAATGGCGGGCAGGAGGGCAGGCACCAGAGGCCAGCCCGCTCTAGACCCTTGATTACAGATGAACACACATGCCCTCGTGGGGACAGATCATGGAGGGAGTGACAGCCTCAAGCAGATGGCAAAGCCTGGCATACAGACCCAGGGCCGGGGGCAGAGACAAACAGCGTTCCCAGCCACCAGCCTGGAGCAGGATGAAAAGCAATGGAGATGGAAATGGGAGAAAGAAGGAGGATTAAAGTTAAATGAATTGAATGTGCTGCCTCTCTGCACAACTCTAAACCAGGGTGCCGTGGCTTCTGGACACCGGCTCTCCAAGGGGCCTGTCTCTTGTGTGGCCAGCCTACCAGTCTGCACAGAGCTCAGGAGGCCCTTCCTCTCAGAAGCCTCCTAGTGATCGGCCCCAGGCAAGGGGGCGTGACCATACACTGGGGGTACAGTCCAAACACAGGGAACCCTGCCATTTATGAGCTCCTCTTGTCTCCTCCAAAGAGGACATCTTGATGGGGCGAGGGGAAATTTTTGGAATTATCCCTTTTCCATGTGTTGGAAAAGAAGCCAAACATCCAGCACACGTGGTGTCAGAGGCTGCAGAGGGGCTATGTGGATGGTACTGAGTGATAAATGAAGGCTCCGTACCCTTTAGTTCAAATCCAAGATGCTCTGGCAGTGCAGAAGAGAGGAGGGCCAGAAAGGGAAAGGGATGGAGGGAGAGATACAGAGAGAGATGGGGGAGGACGAGGGCGGGAGAGAGAGAGAGAGAAACGTTGGTCAGGACTCTTCAGACACCAGCAGCCAGCCTGTGAGGTGAAAGCAGGTTAGTGGTGTCCCCTCCCGGCTTCCTGAGCCCCTTCCCTGGCAGCCTATCCCCAAGAGCCCCTGGGAGGGGTGGAGAGAGGAGATGTTAGGATCAGCAGGCAGGACAGGTTCTTTAGAGATGAGCTGTGGGGTTAGTACCTGGTGGGAGGCAGAGGCGCAAAAGTCAGTTGGCATATGTCCCCAGGGAGGAAAAGTGAGTGTGGGGCGGGGGGCAGGGGTCCAAGGAGTCCCCATTCTTCCCCTCCCAGTGCCAGTGCCAGGCCTTCAGCACTTTCAAGCCCCTCCAGGAGACAGCTTGCTCAGTCCCAATCTCATTCATGGGCCTTTTTTTTTAAATTTTTCTGTTTAGAACAAGAGTGCAGGGTATCCAGACTGGCCCCCTTGTTCCTGTCAAGCCCCCACAGGCCGAGCTGGCCCGCCCATCTACTAGGAGCTTGGGCATGGAGACTCAGAGTTTGTGGGGAACAGAAGTGGGGAGAGAAGGAGGCTCCAAGAGGCAGATCACTTCTCTACTTGACACCCCTAACACCCTAATAGCCTACAGGGGCTGGGCCTCGGGGTCTAAGACTGATTTCACGACAACGAAGCAAACTGCAACTCTGAGAGACAAAAAGGTTCACTTATGGAACAAGTGAGCCCCATAAGTGGTGGTCCAATTGTACTTTTTATAATGGAATCATGTTGCAAATGTGCAATTTTGGGGCCCTTCGAGGTAGACACCCATGCTTGCCCAAGGGTGTTACTCTATACATACCCAGCCTACCTATCTCTCATTCTTTTATCTGTTATATGGGGGTCAGGCCTGACCATGGCATCTCTGGGGAGTTTGCAACCTGGCTGTGCTTCAGAATCACCCGGACCAATGGAATCAGGGTCAGGTGGGAGCCCAGAAATCTCAACAGTGTTTTTGAAAAGCTCACCTACCATTCCAATGCAGTGGCCGACACCTGTCTGCAGTCCTTGAGACTCAGTTTTGTCCCTAATTTGCTGTGTGGATGTGGGCAAGTCATAGTTTTTGTTCGCTCATCTGTCAAGAGTGCCTGTGCACTGTGAGGGCAAGATGTGGGCATGCCAGACAGCGTGAGGCTCAGTGCAGGTGCAGGGCCTGCACCCTTGCCTCCCCAAAAGTAAGCTCCACTAGACTGGGGAGCAGGTGAACTTGTGTTTTGATGTTCTCATCTC